CTGGAACTCCATTTCTCGATATTAGAAACAATACTGTGAAAACCACTTTTGTGGCTCAATATTTGTGGCCAAACGTAATTATGTCTGTGGGCCACGCTCAGAAGTGGGCTCGATGGAGGGCTTGTACATTAGAAAGCGTTCGGTGAATGTTCCACGCGGCCCTTCCCAAAGTTTTCTTCCACTGCACCCTGCAATGGACCGACAGGGCAGAGCCTCCTGTCTTGACTGCAGCCCTCCCCCGCCAGTTCTGCTCCTCAGGCTGCACCCCAGGCCCAAGGGTCCCACCCTCACGACGCCCTGTGTGTGTTTGCAGTTACTTGAAGTACACAGCCACCACAACTGTCCAAGACCACACCACTCTCCAGGTGGCCGGCTTCGCCATTCTCACCATCGCATGGATCCTCAGCAGCACGTCCATGGGCCTCGTGGAATGGCGCGTGTGCCACATGGATGACCCTTCGTTCTTCTCGTCTGTTGTCTGCGTGGGGATGTGGAGACTCTGCATTTATAGCCACGAAGGCAACTTCAGCAAAACCAAAAAGTGTTACCTGTACCGCAACACCTTCCTCCCTCCCGACATTCGCATAGCTCAGTACCTCCTGCTGGCCACCAGCACGCTGGGGCTCCTGGGGAAAGCCTTCGCCATCCTGGGACTCAGGAAGGTGCACGTGGGAAGCCCACCCGAGGACAGGGCCCGCACACCCTTCATCACTGCGGGACTTTTTACCATGGCGGCTTGCGTCTGCATATCAGTGGCTGTCTTCCGGAACTTCCACTCCATCATGAATGAACAGAGCATGTACTTTCCACTGTCCTTCCAGGTGCCCTTCCAGCCTGGCAACCAGCAGATGGGGAGCACCATGGTAGTGGCCACGCTAGGCGCCCTCCTGCTGTTGTTAAGTGGGATATTTTTCCTTTCCTACCGTTATCCCCTGGACATCCAAGTGCATCCTGACACCTGAAAAGCAAAGCCAGGTTGCACTGGTTTGGCAAATCCAAGAGTCCCGGGAATGTATGGAAAGTATTATCAGGTAGTTCAAGGACAAGTAATTCTACGGCAAAGGTACCCAGGGGCAGAATGCGGCCACAGGTCCTTCCATTATCTTCTGTGTCCGAATTTGGTTCGTTGATTGGTTGGAATGGAAGCTTATTAAAAACTAAAAACAAAAAACAAAAAACTTGCCTACCTGGAAAAAAAAAAAAGCAGAGGTCAGGGAGGGGCCCATTGCACAGCCCCGGGTGCCTGCCCGGCTCTGCCTTGCCACTGGAGGCGGGGCTTGGCCCTGCTAGGTGGCTGCGCTGGCCTGGCAGGCTGCCCCACACTCTGATGGGCGCACCACCCCTCTGCCTGCCAATATCTTTGCTGCTGCTGGGCCCTGACCGGGAACCCAGAACGGTGAGTGAGGAACTGGGTCCAGCCTCTCTAAGGACAGGGAACACTGCAGGCCCTGCCTTCTCTCCTGGCTCCTTCCCAGGGTGCCTAGAGCCTGTCCCCAGGGCTCTCCAGGGACTCCACTCTGCTTAGGGACTCAGAACTAGCCCTTCACCTCTCCAGGGACTCAGACACCTCCCACCCCTATACTGTAACCCTCTCTAGCCACCCAAGGCCCCAACCCTCCAGGTCCTGTGAACGGACCATCACTCCTCCGTCTGTGGGTCTGAAGCAGGATCACCAGATGGACCCTGACGGGGGAGCAGGGGCACCGTCAGAGAGGTCTCCTTTCTGATGACCCGTTCCGGGGTGCGGAGATACACTCAGGGAGCATACAGATCCCTCAAGCACAGCAATGCCCAGGCACAGGACCAGCCTCTTCCTCCACTGGGACTCAGGTGCCTGGCTCCTGGATAGACGCTCATGGACCCATGCTGCAGGTATAGCAGATGCCCCGAGGGGAGCACGTGTGTGTACAACTTGGGGACCTCCGAGACAGCCCCCCGGCAAGTTCCCACACACCCTGCACACACATGCATGAAGCCCTGGTGCCCAGCAGGTGCCTGTCAGCCCTGGCACTGCCAGAGGAAGCTGCCCATGGGCAGACAGAGCATCAGACGCAGCCTGTCCCACCCCTGCTCTGCTGGCACAAAGGGAGCGCCCCCGCTGCTTCCACACACAGCAGGGTGTCAGACCCTCGGCCCCGAGACACCAACGTGGCCAGGTCAGGAGTGGAGCCAGCTGTGGGCAGCTCCAGGGTATGGTGCTGGGACCGGGTCCTTGCCGGGCGTGCTTAGTGGGCATGTTCCACGGGGCCCGGTGGATCCAGAAGCCCCGCCATGTGCCAAGGCATCCGGAGCTGTACGACAAGGATCCGTGGGGCCATCTGCACGGGGGCAGGGCAGATTCTGGAGGGAGATGGCCGTGGCCTGGGTGGGGGCAGGGTGAGAGCGTGTGGGGCACATAACCGCAGGGACAGGGCCGAACTCCTGTGCAGCAGAGAGGATGCGGGAAGGGCGGGGTGACCCCCACTGGGCCTCGGGGTGCTCGGGGCCCATGTGAGCCAGGGAAGGTTTGAGGCAGAAGTGTGCACCTCTGGGACAGTTATCCAGACAGGAAGGGAAGGTTTGAACTCTAAACTCCTTTTTACATTTTCTGCTTCTTTGACACATCTCTAGCCCCCTACACTAATATACTGCTTTTTCTACTGAGAAAATAGCACAACTGGATTTAACTCTGGTCTGCACCACTCGAACAAGTCATAGTGGTGATATGTGGTTTTTTTTTTTTTGGCATCAGGAATCAAACTCAGGACTTTGCACTTGCCGGGCAGACACCTGTGCCACTGAGCTACACCCCCGGCCCACATGTTCTAGTCAGAGATGCCAAGTCATGGTGGAGGAAGAAATGTCAGGCGTGGACCCCCACTCTCCTCAGCTTCTGGGGTGGGGTGGAGGAGGGGCCCAAGAGCCGGCCCTGGCAGGATGAGGCTCTGCTCTGCTGCAGGGCCCCGGCCCTGGCCCTCGGCAGGTTTCCTTCCCTGCTGCTAGGGGCCCGGGAGGAGGGGGCACTGGTTAGCGGGGCAGACGCTGTGGGCGGCGTAAGCGTGGGAGTCACCTGCCCAGCCCTCCTCCTCTGCCTCCCGTCAGCTGCTGGGTAGCACCAGGGAACAGAGAAGTGCAGCCCCAGACCTTGGGCCTCCCTGAGCAGGCGGAGGCTGTTGGGCCCTGAGCCAGAGTCTCGGCGTGTGATGAGGTCCAGACTGGGACGCCCCCACAGGACAGAGGCTCTGTTTAGGCTCTGTTTAGCTCATCGTTGGAGCCCAGTGACCAGTGCAGGCAACTGGACCAACGCCTGATGAACAACTTGTAGTCTGACTGTGTCGGGAGTTGACAGGAGCAGGGAAGAGGGAGCAGCCTGTGCAAAGGCCCGGGGGCTGATCTCTCGTGCTGTGGTCAGTTTGGGACTCAGTATTCCTTTCATGGCTGCCTTTGAAGATGACATCTCTAATGCTTAGGGCTTGTTATGGGCCAGGTACTTTGCGTGCATTATTTCACTTTATTCTGTGAGTTGCGGTCACTTTAGCCTCCATTTTACAAACGAGGAGACTGAGGCATAGAGAGGTTTGTAATTTGTCTAAGGTCACACAGGTAGCAAGGAGGCTTCAAATCCTGATAGGCTGCAGCATCCACCCCTTCTCAGGCTGATGTCTTTCCTTGGTGCTGGGAGGTCCTGACCTTCAGTCTCTGCAGGTTTACTCCCAGCATGCAGCAGGTCACGTGTGCCGGCATGGAATCCTGGGACAGGCAGGGACTGTGGCTGTGTGGGCACCTGAACCCCATGACCAGTGGCTGCTATTGTGGCCCAGGTGGCCATGGCAGACCCTGGGATGCCACTGACCAAGGAGTGCATACTCGGGCCCAGGCTAGAAGGTCCTCACCCTGGCAGTCAGAGCCCGTTGTTGTCAGGGTTTGCAAAGGAAACAATTGACTACTCATAATTTATAGGATTATTTTATAGTAGTCAGCCAAAGAGTCAAATGAAAAGTGTGCAGGAAATCTTTCCACACACTCAAGACCCCAAGAATCCAGCCGAGGGCCTGGATCCCATGGCAATGTCCTGCATGAGTCCAGCTGAAGACCTAGAGCCCATGGCAATCCCCTGCATAAGTCCAACTGGAGGCCAGAGCCCACGACAGTGTCTCATGCAGGGGTGTTTCACGGATGTGTGTTGGGAAATCCCAAAAGTCAGTGGTGGAATCTAGGAAGTCTGTGCCAGTGGGATGAAGGGTCTGTACTAGCAGGCTGAGGGGTCTGCACTGGAGCCAGGAAGGGATGCTCAGAGTAAGAACCAGAGCTCCCTCGAAAGGTACCACAGCCATCCTCAGCAGCAGTGAGGTCCCGAGCTCCTCCGATGATCAGGACAGCCAAGCTCCTATCAGGGAAGCCAACGCAGTGAGCTTCTCTAGGAGACTGAACTCCATCTTCCCCTTTGGAGCCAGGAAGCGATGCTCAGAGGGAGGACCAGAGCTCCCCCAAAGTGAATCAAAGCCATTCTCAGTGCCAACGAGGTTCCAAGCTCCTTGGAGGATGAAAACAGCCGAGTTCATCAGGAAAGCCAGCATGACGAGCTCCTCCAACAGAACCCACAGCTCCTTACAGCTTGTACCAGCTCCAACAGCCTCCTTCTCCTTCTCCAGTTCTGCCTCTTCTGCTGCTGGCAACAGTCCCCAGGTGGGCCTCCCACACCCAGCACCACGCTGACTCAGTTCAGCTGGGGGTTATAAGTTGACCACCAGTTGTCTGTCCACCACAAAGCCATGAAGAAATATGCAAAACTGAGATCAGGCTTTGGTCTAGGAAGATCCCAGCCTGTGGTACAGGTCTCCTAGGTGCTGGGGCCAGGGAGGACAGATCTTGGTGCCAGCTGCACAACCCTGGCTGTGGGCTGATTACACCGCTACAAAGTAACACGAAGATAACCAGACTTTTTATGCATCAGGAACTGCTCTGCAGATCTCCCTGTAAATCGTCACAACAACCCCATTTCACAGACCAGAAACTGAGGCAGAGAGAGTAAGTTACTTGTCTGGGGGCTGCACAGAGCGGGAGGTATGGGAGCTGGGATTCGAATCCAGGCAGTATGGCTGAGTTTAAGCCCCAACCTCTGCACCATGCGAGGTGTGAGCACGACCTTGCTCTGTGCAAGGCTGCGACCTCAGCATTTACTCTTGTGACCCTGCCTGGAGACAGGCTCGATGCTTGTCCCCATTTTACAGGTAAAGGCCCTGAGGCTCCAAAAGATGCAGCCACCCAGCCATTTCTACCAAGCTTGGAGGTGGCGCAGTACAGATATGGCTGCTTCTTCCCGAGTGGGGATGGGATTGTCTCGGACAAGTCCTGATGTGCTGATAGCCATGCCCGCTCCCCCCTGGGGCCGTCCGCACATCCTTCAGAGCCAACTCAGGCACTGGCACCTCCGGGAAGCTCTCCCGGAAGCCACCTCCTGTGGGCTCCCTGTCCCTCCGCTCACCCCACGTCCCGGCACTTCTCATCACGCCTGTGTCTGGGGCGCTTCCTGAGGTCAGGGCAGGAGCTGGCGCGCTCTCCGCCACGCTCTGCTGAGGGCTCCAAGGGTGAGGCTGGTGGGTGGCGGGACAGAATCCTCGGGGAAGAATAAACGAATGAACGATGGGCTGAGTGTCCCTTGGAGAACTGCAGTAACTGTCCCGCAGGCCCGGGACGGTGTGGGGAGGGGCCATCCAGGACACCCAGAAGATGCTAATGAGGTGTGCCCTGAGGGCTCATTACCAATCCGCCCCCAGGGAAGGCGTCTGTGTCTCAGGAGAGGCTGGGAGGTGGGAGGCGGGCTGGACGATTTTGGGATGAGGGCTGGGGCTGGGGCTGAGACAGCACAGAGTGGGCGTGACCCTCTGGGGCCGCGAGTCACACAGAATGAGGCGGAGTGAGGGGCCTGGCCCGCTCCGGGAACAGAGAGGCCGGGCGGCCGGAGCCCCTCAGGGAGCAGCGGGCGGGAGGCAGGCAGGGCCGGTTCGGACACAGCCGGGGTTGGTGGCTGCGCAGGGCGCGCGGGGCCCAGAGGGTGTCTTCTCAGAGCTGGGCCCGTCACGGCCAGCGCTTCCAGCAGGGGACACTGGCTCCTTGACAGTCTTCGCTGCATCACAGCCCCCGAGAGGGCGGGCGGCCAGAAAGCACCCGCCTGCACCCACCTGCCAGCCT